CTGGAGTTTGTTCTTAAGTCAGTTCCTCGTCGAGTACAAGAAAATCAACTCAGGTAGTGTGAGAGGGCTATAGTGGTTGGCCGAAGGGGCCTTACCATTATGCAAACAAACAAAAGTGCATAGAGATCGGGGCCATGCATAAGGCCTGCCAGGGACTTGTTTAACCATGCTAGTCATGTATATATTTAACAATGAGCAGCGCTTAAAGACTGCTCACTTGCTGAATAGAGTCCGTCAACGGCCCCATCTAATCAAAAGTTTGTTAATTATATGCAAGAGCATTTGTGCATGGAAAATATATTTGATTGCCGATAGATTTATCAGCAATTGCTGCCTTTGAGTTTCTTGATGTCTACATCGGGAGAAAAGCCGTCCCACTCTTTGGGTACGTGGAGTAATATATACCAAAACACTCAACTTCGGTGCGTCGTACCATAGCTGTTTCACATCATGTAGAGCCAGTGGTAAGCAATTATATGGGTATATGTACTGAAATTCGTCATTCATTGTGGTCCAAAATTATTAAAGTTTATTCAGCCAACTCATGCACGTGAAGTTATTCTGCAACCTCCAAGTGACGCTGTAGCTGCGCACAATCTAGTAAATTCGAATCGAAAAGGCCCAGCTTTATTTGACATTGTTGTAAACTCATATTCATCACTTCACATGCTTTTTGGGGAGAGTTGTTAATATTCGGACGGTGTTTTTTTAAGCGTTATTGGCGTCATAATTTTTATTGCAGTCATTCAAGATACTGGTAGTATGTATACTTAGGGTGTATACAAACATTTATGACAGCTTTTTTCCATCGTAGTATATACAGATCTAAATGGATGAGTTCCACAATGTCATCTCTGGAATCACTAGACAGTCAGTATAATAGTACTCGTTCTGCATGATTTATATAGGTGCAAAATGGATTATATGGAAATTATCATGAACTTTACCATTCCAGACAGAGTAAAACGAGCATCATTAGTAGATATGAGTCTCATGATCATTATAAATACTATATATATAGCTAGTATGTCACACTCCTCCCTATTATCTACTCCTGATATATATATAAGTACCTTTGGTACTATTGCTTCGGTTGTTTGTTGGAATGACAAATAATGTTGGTTTTGTCTGCTTCTCACTTCTTTACGTTGCAAAAACATTTTTTGTAGTTTCTGGTAAATTGTTGTTGTATATTTTGTTTTTGGGTTTGTAATTCCCAAGTACACTAATGACCCACTTACTAGTACTATGGCTTTTTGCTTCAATTTTAAATTGTGCTACATAATGTGTATTAATTTTATTCCACAGTAACTTCAGTCTCCTTGGTAAGTGTGTGTGCCTGTGTGTGTGTGAGCGTGTATCACGTAATGCCTTTCTTACTTTGCTACAGGGTCTAAAGCAATAGGTTGCAGATCGTTGCACTTGTAACTAGCCTTGCATGTCCTTGCGTGCTTATAAAAGTAGCTTAGTATATATTAGTGCATACCTATTGTATTATTTAGTGTTGACGGAAATTAACCATGCAGTATTTAGGTAACTCTGATCCATTCCTGGGATACGTTTGAGTGCTGTCACTTTCCTCACGCACACATGCATGAACACAGTCACTCACTCTCTCTCTCTCTTTCTCTCGCTTACTCCCACTCGCTCTCTCTCTCTCTCTCTCTCTCTCACACTGTCTCTTCTTTAAAATTACGAGCAGTGACCATTTCTAGAAATGTGAGGTATGAACCGCAATGGACATCTCGGCATGCAGAGTCACCACTTTGTAGAAAGCTGGTTGTGATTCAGTTATTTATATATATAACAACTTGTATAATAGTGGTGTTGAAGCATTATAATTCATGCATCATGGGGAGAGGCTTCAGTTAGCAGATACTTAACTATCTGTCTATATAACATGGATGCTATTGTTTGCATATTAACAGGAGACTTCTCAGCTTCGCCCATTTACTGAGAATTGCATCTTCTCTATCTCCTACAGGGTTATCCATCACACACTGAGATGGACTACGCGTCACATATTGGGTCTCCGCAGCAACCAGTGACGCCACCGTCCCGGCCCGTGTCGCACACGCGCTCGCCACAGTACGACACGCTGGGATCCGTCCCTCAGGCCTACTCCCCTCTGACGTAGCGCCCGGCAGTGTTACTGCACACACACAGCCAAGACTGCCTTCACCTTTGTTTGAGCAGTGTGTGAGTCGAAGATCCGTCCAGTGCGTCAGGAACATTTCGCTGATTGGCACAGATTATATTGCCGCTGTCACTCATTGCCGCTGTCACTCATTGCCGCTGTCACTCATTGCCGCTGTCACTCATTGCCGCTGTCACTCATTGCCGCTGTCACGCATTGCCGCTGCGACTCATTGCCGCTGTCACGCATTGCCGCTGTCACGCATTGTCGCCGCTGTCACCAGCGACAATGCGTGACAGAGGCAATGCTCACTCATTGCCGCTGTCACTCATTGCCGCTGTCACGCATTGCCGCTGTCACTCATTGCCGCTGTCACTCATTGCCGCTGTCACTCATTGCCGCTGCGACTCATTGCCGGTGACAGCGGCAATGAGTCGCAGCGGCAATGCGTGACAGCGGCAATGAGTGACAGCGGCAATGAGCATTGCCTCTGTCACGCATTGTCGCTGTCACTCATTGCCGCTGTCACGCATTGCCGCTGTCACTCATTGCCGCTGTCATTCATTGCCGCTGTCACGCATTGCCGCTGCGACTCATTGCCGCTGTCACGTCACTCATTGCCGCTGTCACGCATTGCCGCTGTCACTCATTGCCGCTGCGACTCATTGCCGCTGTCACGTCACTCATTGCCGCTGTCACGCATTGCCGCTGTCACTCATTGCCG